TATTTTGCAGAGAAATTTATAAGGGATATGCCGAGAGCTGCCAGAAAAATATGATTATGTGGTTTTTAAATGAGTTAGTTTTGGTATCTGCTATGGTTTGAATATGGTGCACCAATTTGAAACTCATGTTGAAACCTCAGTTCCCACTATAATAGCTTGGAGGGGTGATGGGACCTTTAAAAGTTGTCAGATCACTGAGAGGAATTAATCCCTTTTGCCTGGGAATGACTCACTTTCCAAATGACTGTGAAGTGGGTTATGGAAAAAGCAAGACTGCCCATCATGGTTTGCCCTTCTGCACAAAGCCTTTTCTGGATACAGCCACCAAATCTTGGACTTCCAACCTCCAAAACCATGAGATAAACAAACTTCTTTACTTTATAAATTACTTGGTCTAATGTTCCAACGCAGCAACAGGAAACAGAAGAAGAACATAGACTCTCATGAGAGCGGGGTCTATAAATAAATTGTTTTAGTTAACTCAAAAAGAAATGCCAATTTAAGGAAAATCATATAATTAGCTAATTTTGTCTTTAAGTTTCCACCCAAGATAAAGAGATTGTAGCTTAGAGAAAATAGATGGATCAAGCAAATAGAAAACTGTTATTTAAATTAGTCAAAGCTTGAGTGCAGAATACCGACTTCAATTTTTTATTTGCCCCTCTTACTTTTCTCTAGCACGTCCATATCTTCACTGTCCTTCACGTGTGATACTAAATGTTTCAATGTTTTATCTATGCCTTTGCTTCTTTTTTTGTTTCCCCCAGTGGAAATCCCATCTTATTTTCACTGTCCTACCTCATCCTTTGGTGTCTAACCGTTCCCTATAAGCTTCCAGAGAACCTTCTCAAGTAAAAAGTATCATGTTATAATTTTTTTATTTCTTCAATAGTCCTTTTAAGTGAGGAGTAATTCATTGATTTGTTTGAGTTTCAAAAATATTAAATAAAATAATAATCTTTCTGGATTTATAGAATAATGCAGTTAAAAAAAATAAGCTTTCCAGCTAACTTGAAATATTATTCCTTGGGAATTCCTGAGTAAGAAAGTGTGTTGAAAATAGGAGATGATGTCCAGAAAGGCTACATTCAATTAGATAAGATATTCGATCATTTGACTTATTACCCTCCTTCCATAGATTTAAGGTTACCTTTTCTTTAAGACTCTTAGGTAGAGTTCATAGATTTATTCTTAAAGTAAAGTTGCGGGAACTCATGGGACTCACAAGACATGAGAAGAGATTGGGATTTACAGACTTTTGGTTAAGCATGATACACACAGCAAAAAGAAAAGTCAGAAGCACTACGCAGCAGTGGAGGTAAAGATGACAAGATAGATAACACAGATACTGGCATGAACTGTAAAGACAAAAAAGAAAGAAACATCACCATGAGGAAGGGCAGACACAAAGGGGGAACCAACTAAGGAAAAAAAGATTTCATATTATTTTAAAGTTGTTTTGCTAGACTGGAAAAAAGCACATAACAGTTCTACCCAAGAAACATGACACATGAATTACAGTACATCCTGTACCTATCTGCTCTCCTGGGATTCCATCCTTACTATGCAGTTTGGCTCTCATTATTTTCTCTTACCAAGTAAATTCCAAAATCTTGAGTACAAATTCTAATCCTATCTCCAAATGACAGTTGTTGATATATTTATTCTGGATGTAAGAACAGGACTTTGGTTTAGAATCCTAGCTCCACAATGTGTAAGCTATGTGTCTTTAAATAATTCATTCAATATATTTGACCTTCAGTTTCTTATTTGTAAAGCAGACATAATAGTAGTGCCTAAATTCCTTACAAAGAAAATAACATGAGAAAATGCCTTGAAAATACAATATAAACCTTTATGCAAATGCAAAACTCATTATTTTTTAATATGGCTGCTCATTTTTACCTCAAATTCAGTGTCTGGAAACACATTTAATAGCTTACCTCCAAGAATTGGTTCTTTCCTTCTTATATTGTCAATAATTTTCTATTATTGTCTTCCCCAGCTATGATGAAAGCTTAATGCTATCTTTAAATTCGTCCATCTTTAAATAATCACTAAGTCCTGCCCATAGTTTCTTTGCAGCATTGCTGATGTGGATCCCTTTCCAGTTTTCTATTTCTATTCCTGCTTCTTTAGAAACTTACCTTGAACTCCTGGGTTGGAGCCCACTTTGAGCATTGCTATTCAGCTTCCTATCTAAACCACTGGTCTTACTGTTTTACCGTCTTCTACAGCCCCTTTCTGTAGTTCTCTTAAAGTACAATCTCCTTAGGAAGGTTCTTCCTCATGGCACAGCCTTGCTCTGCCTTAATCTTTCAGAATATGCTTCTCTCAATTATCCTCAGAGCCTTCCACATATTTTCACTAAGTCAAGGATAGCACACATAGTGGATAGTGGTGTTACAGGAGAGAACTGGGCTTAAAGTGCCAAGACCATTGCAATCACTGTGTCGGAAATAGTTGAGACGGCAGCATAATATTTCATGGGATTGGTGCTTTCTAAGGATACTTGTACTTTGCATGCTTTTCCCTCCTTGTTCATATATAAATTAACTATGGAATCTCAGTGTCCTTTACAAATTGTTTTGAACTAAAATAATAGATATGCTCAAAGACAACATGGGAAAGTGTATATTTAGGAATAAAATTCAACCAAATCAAGTAATGATAGGCTTTAGCACACACAAAAAAATCATTCAGATCAGCCCCCCCGCCCCCCACACACAGTTACTTCCCTCTTACTGGGAGATGATGCAGAACACACAAATTAATAGAGGAAAGATTTATCCTGGCTCAGTTTGTAGAGGTTTCAGTCCACAGTTAGCTGGCTCCACGGTGGGCAGCATGACAGAAGGTCATGCAGAGGAGTACTTAAGGCATGACAGGCAGGAGGTAAAGGGAGGTAAAGGGAGTGGGGAGGGAGACAGATTCTTCTAGGCCATGGCCTGAGCAAATTGCCTCCTGCAACCCAGCTTCACCTCCCAAATCATATTTGCCTATAAACTCATCAGTGGACTAATCCGTTGATGAGTATCATATCCTCATGATAAAGTCACTTCCCCAAATCCCCATCTATGAGTACATGAGGCTTTGGTGGGACATCTAGATATAAACCACAACACACAAGCTGCATTCTAATGCTATGGTTTGTTTTCCTAAATAGTATTGGAAAGAACACTCACCCACATTGTCAAAGCACACTGAATCTTGATTTTTTTTTTTTAGTTGAAAGCCACTACAAATTTGCACCAAAAGGAAAGAGTTATAATTGATGAAATAATTAAATAGATGCATATGCTTGATTTTATCACAAACTGTTTTACAAACAATAATTTTAATCCATTTAATGCAATGTTTTATGTGCTTGTCAAACCCTTCTCTGAAATTTATGAATTTTTATGGAATTTGATGGGGTTTTTTTAGTTACAGTCTATTTTTCTGACATTTAATGCAGGTAAGTCATTGTTAAAGATGCTAAGTTTATCTGTCTACTTTCTCTTTCTTCTGTCACAGGTTATTGGACTGTGTCATCTACCTGAGAGATGGTTCCAGAATGATGTATGGACATTGGCTACCTGTGTAAAGATAGGGAAAAGGAATGCTTGTCAAGTATCACAGTGCTCCTAAGAAATCAACACTATCCCATCTTTGGCTTGTGAAAAGTCCAAAATTTCTTCATAGAGATGATTATTGCCTATTTATATGACATAACTTGTATTTTGTCATAAAGTTGGATTCATGCCTGTGTGCTCAGTGTCTGAAAGAAGAGACCATTTTTTTTTTCTTTTGCAGTCTCACCCATTAGGTATCAGACTGTCTCTACTCTCCATCTAATCCAGGTGTAGCAGATGGTTGTTTATAATAGACTTTGGCTTTAAATCTTTTAAATAAAGTGTGAGATCTAGCAGAAATATACTACAACCTAATTATACTCTAACATTACCAGTATAGAGGCTTTAGACCAATTTTGGGTTCTCTTAGAATATTAGGAAATCTTACTTTGAAAATTTCCAGACAATATTAATCATACCGCCCATGAAAGGTTCCTTCTTTCCTTTTCCCATCCTTCTATCCCTTCTCTCTCTACTATTCCTTCCTTTTCCTCCTTCCTTCCTAAATATATAAGGGAGGTTATTCTGGCCATTAGTTTTATATGAAAGTAAATTACCCCCAACTCATTGGCTGTTTGCAGGTGTCATACAGCTTGTAAATATTTAGCAGTAATCATTAGGTCCTCTGGGAGTAGACACAACATAAGATGTTAGCACAAGAAGACAGTCACTCTTCTCCGCTGTTTCGTGGGGGAGGTTCTTTATGAGAATAGATGGCTTCTGTGCTTCAAGTCATCAGGTAAAATGTTTATATGTATATTACATGATATTTCAAAACACAGACAGCCAAGGAAAGTATTTGCTGCTATAGTATTACTGCTTAACAGTAAACCACTAATAGTCCCTGGAAAGTGCTAAGAATGTCAGCACACCTGAGCTATGATGAATACATTTAGATGGAATTACATGGGATTTCAGTTGTTGGTTTCTCACCGACTTTAGGGAAGGGAAGTAGAAAGCAAGCATAATGCTCTCCAGTCAGTCATTTAAGTCCTCAGGCTGGGTTTTCTCACAACTGAATATAAATTAGCCAGAAGAGTCCCCCAAATCGGTTTTTTGGATGAGTTTCTGCCATGTGAACCCTTGGTGGCCAAGTGGTACAAGCTCCTGAGTAGATAGGCTGAATGTTCCTTGGACAAGAAAGAGAAATAAATCTTTCTAGAATCCTATTATTCTTTATCTCCTAGGACAGTGTTGTGTAATAGGAAGCATCTAACAAATGTACCTACAAGGATAGCTGTTAGTTTTTCAAAAGACGGTTACCAGGACTGAGATTATGCATTTCATAATTTTTCTTCCCAAACACTATTCACTAATGAAGTCACCTAGTAAAAGCTTGAATAGACAACCAATAAACAAAGCAGTCTGCATAGCTGCTGGTGGGAATCTTGTGTGAGGTACTTTAGGGCTTGGGAAAGCATCACTTCATTGATGTTTTGTTGGTGGTATTATTGTTTGGTTAGTGACTTGTAGAACTTTCCTTGGTGTCTTCGCTTGAATCTGTTTGCCAAGACTGGTAGTGATTCTCCTGCATCCTGTAATGCCTGTGAACATTAGTAAGGTAGGCAATTTCATTTTATACATTTGCAAATTCTTGAGGAATAATGGTTTCATAATAGAGACACTTTGTGCTCTAAGTCTCTCAAGACTTTCTGTAATATATTTGTACTCAGTTGAGAAACAGATTGGAGGAATGAAAAAGGGAGAGGGGAGGGACAGGGAGAGAGAAAGGAAAGAGGTGGCTGAAATTCCAAGAGGCCACTCCAGATGGTAGGGTCACTGCAGCGCAGTTGGTTTTACCACAGTCTACATAATCATTAATGAAGATGCAGGAGTAAGAAAATAAGGAGTCTAGGAATCAAAAGATCTTGTCCTAGTTCTGGCAACTGGAAGAAATTATAGAACTTCTCTATGTATCATCTTCTGTTTTTAAAAATTTTTGTTTAAAAAAAAGTCGTAACATAACCATCTTTCAGAGAGTACTTTTTTCTTCTCAGAGCACTAAAGTTCCTAGTTAAGCTATTCCCTGTGCAAGACTCGGGACAAGAAAGTTCAGTTAACAGAGACATCTCTGTAATTTGTTGCTGTCTTTATCTGTAAGGTGACACATTTCAGAAACCTCCAAGGCAGAAAAATATAGCTGTGAGATGAACAGCTTATTTAGTTTCAATTCATGAAGAATACAGCAAGCCAGGACCAGTGCATGTTATAGAATTTGTTGATTCATGTGAACGTCAAAGCTCTTTATTTGATTTTTAAAATGAAACTTTATTTCTAGCTGCCAAGCAGAAGCATTTGTATCCTAGACAAGTGAGACAGCATTAAATGGCCTTTTTGCTGGCAGATTACCGGCTGTGTCACACGGATGAGATGCTTGACCACGGACATTTGTGTGCATAGCTGTGATCACCTCATTCCGAGAATGAATGGCACCGCACCAGACACCTGATTTTTTTTAAAAAAAACATTATCTGGGTCTCTCTTCCACAGTTTGCTGAGTTGCATTAAAATTGTGGGTATTTTCTGGTTTGTTTCTTTTCTTGGAAAATTAGAAATAACATTTTCATGCAGAAACTGATGTGGAAAGGTCAGCCATTGTTAACCATTCACACAGAAGTACATCTCGAATTGCCATAGAAGTGGAAAATATTTTGATTCTCCTGTGATTCACAAAAATAATAATCACTGGCTGAAAAAAATGTATAAAGCATTTCTGGTAATTTTTGCAGAAAGAAGCAAGATATGAATTATAAAGGTAGTACAATATACCCACTTGGTTTTTGGAAATAAAATAAGCTTACAAATCATGATTTTTAAATGCCTTCTAAATGTATTATAAGTAATACTTTAGCTAGATACAATACCTTTTGTTTCAGTTTTCAGTGTGCTGGCATGACATGTTTTTTTTCAAGATCTCATTGTCTTTAAAAAGATGTTTACATTTTGTCAGAAACTGTGGAGATTAAAGTTTGTGGCTTTTTAACATATACAGTGTTAGCATTATTCTTTGTTCACTGAACATCCATAGCTTTCCTTGTGACAGGCTGTCAAGAAGTTTGCCTCTAAAAAGAGAGGTTAGCTCCTCTGAGACATTCAGCGGTGCAATTCTCAGTGATGTGCTGCTCCGCCACAGTACCCCTCAATGCTCCTGTGTGCAGCCATGTGACATCTAAACTATTTGTTTGCTCTGCCATAAGATAGCATTAGCAGATGTAATGGGAACAGATCACTCGTTTGCAGAAATATTTATGGAAGTGCTTTCAAAGAAACATTCAATCCACAGTTGCAACTGATGAAGCATGTAGCAAGGACTGCTTCTAAAACCACGTGGGCAAAAGTGTCATTTTACATGGCAGCAAAGATGTGTTAACTTAATATGTGTATGACCAGAGATTAGAAAACATTTGCTGCCATATGAAGCAGATTTCAATGCATGGGCATTTTCAGTAAAACAGAAACAATCATCTTATGTTGAAAGGAATGGGTTATATTGTTTTAAATCTAGAAGTCTTCCCTGCCCCATATTTTATGCTGCCCAGAAAGGAACATTTTCATATAAAAAATGTACCTCCTTCCACCTGACAAAGCTTTTTTTTTTTTTAAACATTGTAATAGTTTTCTCTGAGAAATACTTAAAATTACACTTCACAGCACGTGGATGCGACAAATTTAAATGTGAAAATGAGCCAGTCTTACTCTTGTAGGCTGCTGATAAATTTTCTATCAAAATGAGAAAAGCCATAGAAGATGAATTAGTTTAATAGACGCATGCATTTAAGTGCAATGTTTCCCTCCAATGCAACATTGCATTCTTTTATTAAGCATTTCACTGTACTCTTAGCTATTAAATATCTTTTGGTCCAAAAATGCTGAAGAAGCAGGCTGTACAACATAACACCTGGGCCATGGCTGCTGACAAATCTCTGTCAAGAGTTGGCCAGAGGTATGTGAGAAATCTCTGAAAGCACAAGGAGAGAGGGCCAAATGCATTCAGCTAAAAGCTCAGGAATACCACAGGGACATGACTTTTGGGTTCTTCTTAATACTTTCATTACTTTGGGCTACTTAGTGTAGTGATAATTTACTAAATAGGGGCAATTTACTAAAGAGACTCCAGAAATGTAAAAGAATTATTACACCTCTGGAAAAAGTACACAGCATTCTCTCTGAAAAGATGAGACCCAGCATTTCCAATAAAGTTGATTTACTACTTAATGCGCATCTGAAACAGCGTGGTGTTGATTCACAGAGCAGTTTGTAGCAATTTGATTTACACTAATCAAATGAAATGGTGCATTTTCCTGACACATAAATGAAGTATACATTTTAAAAAATTACTTAAGAAAACAGGTATTTGAAATGTTAAGTCAACTTGATGGAAGCTAGTGGACATTTCACACTTACATTAAATTGATGACATTTAGTGGTCTCTGAAGATACATTTTTGTAATCATCCATCTTGTAAGTTCACTGTAAGAAATGAAAGGTAGGGCCAGAGATCTTGCTCAGTGGTTCTGCTGCCTGCCTCACAGGCCTAAGGACCAGAGCTCGATCCCCAGTACTAAAAAAAATAGTAAGAAAGAAAGAATGAAAGAAAGAAAGAAAATTCATCCTTATAATTTTATTTAACTTTACATCAAAAATATTTTAAATATATATAAGAGACATCAAGAGTAGAATAACAAAGTCCAGCCAAATAAGAGTTCTACAGAAAAAAGTGAACTGTATAGGAAGTGATGTCATTTAATGTTTTTCTTGAAAGGTGTCTGAAGTGTTGCTATGAGGGCGAACACTTTATAAGCTTTGCATTCCTCATGGGCTCTGAACACCAGCTCTATGCTAAGTGTAGCACTCAGTGCTTGAAATGCAAAATTGTAGGCAACATCACCCTTTTAAAAACACACTCATTTTCATTAATGGAATTATGCTGGTGTTCCAGAGTCACTGAGGAGAATACGCAGGCCAGACTTCCCAATATCCATGAAGAGCTAGAAGAACAAATATTAACTTTTTCAAATTAAGATCAGTTTGTATCTATTTAGGAACAAAGGGTGCCAGGATGGGTACCACGGCACCTCCTCTAAGTGGGAAGGGACCAAGGGTAATGGTAGAGGACAGCGTGGATGTGAGGAGATGAAGATGGGACAGGTGGGGCTGGCGAGATGCCGCACCCGGAGGACTCATGGTCCCTCCTGGAGACGGGATGGACTTAGGGCCACGGAGCACCATGGAAAACTTTTAAATAGCAAGGCAGTGATGTGACCATACTTGTCTCAGAAAGATGAAAGAAGAATTGAACTGGATTTTATAAATAAACTTGAGGAGATAAATTAGAAAGCCATGATAGTAAAGGTGAAGAGTTAAACTAAATCAGTCACAAAAGAGAAAAAAAAACTTGATAGATATTGAATAAGTAGAAATCAAAATCAACCATGATGAAATCCATGCCAATGATAAATGAGAGGGAGGACTCCAGTACAAAACCCAGTTTTCAGTTTGCTTTTTAAAGATATTTAGGAGAATAACAGTGATCCTAATTGAAATATAAGAGGAGGAAGAAGAAGAAGGGCAAATTTGGGGAAAGATAATAATTATATCGTTTATTGTTGGTCTGGAGCTAAACAGAGAGATTTCAGCAGGGATATGGATTTTCAAGTCTCTGGAATTAAAATCATTGAACTTAGGGATGTGGAATATATCTAGAGAAAATATAGAGAGAAGAGAAAGGGCTCAAGGAAAGAATATTAGGAGAAAATGCAAATAAAGTACAGTTGAAAAAATACAAATCTATAGAACCAGTCTTAAAAAGACCTCCAGAAAAGGACAAGGATGGAAGAAAAAAGAGGTCAAGGAGAATTACAAGAAAGTCAAAGTCATTTCAGCTGTGTACGAACCACAGAGAAGTAATTAACATGCAGACTATTGAAGAAACCCCTTTGGAAAAAGAAAGGATTTTTTTAAGGGAGCATGGGCGAGAGAGACTTGCTGGCAGTGGGCTAGAAAAAGAGAAGGGGATATAGTGAGACATAAGCAGGTAAAAAAATAAATAAAAGGAGGATAACAGAGGAAGGACCGGGATTAAGGGATGTTCCTGCTTTTAGGAAAAGAGAGGTTTACACACTTTCATACGTTGAGAAAGAAAATGAAATGAAAACCTGACAAAGAAATTGAGGCTAGGCCCAGAAGAGACAGTGGGATGGGGAGCAGGCAGGTGATGGTGGTGCCCAGCGAAGAAAGAGGCACAGCTACCACTGCGAGGGGCAGAGAAGCCAGAAGAAATCTGAATACAGACAAGCTGAAAGTTTAAGAAGAACCTGTAGTCATAGGGGATGAGGAGAATCATGCAGAACTGAAAACGTGCATGTCATCACAGATGAGTCATCTTTGGCCCAGCAAAATCTAAGTACTGTCCAAAAATCCATTTATGAGCCTACTCAGTTCTCCTTCATTCTTCTCAACCCATGACTAATGGGAATTGTTACGTAAGGATCACAGCTCCACCAAGCATGGCGGCACATGTGTAATCCCAGCTGTTCAGGAGGCCAAGGCAGGTGAATCACAAGTTTGAGCCCAAACTGGGCAATTCAATAAGAGTCTGTCTTACAAAAGGACTAGAAATGGAGCTCAGTATTCCTGGATTCCATCGCAAGGGAAAACAATTAAAGCTCCCTTAACCCCACATGGCATAATTTTGAAGGTGCTATTGGCTCCCGTGTCAGTCGAGTTTTACCTACAGTGGTATCTTATTTGGCACATTGACTGTGTTCAGCATCCTCTGTCACTGGCCACTACCCACTAAGGTTGTCTGGGAATCACATCCTAAAAAACTATCTGTACTCAAATCCCGTTTCAGGACTGACTTTTGGAGAAACTCAAACTAAAGTGAATTGCTTAAAACAGTGTCTTGCCTATAGCAAATAAACAATAAGTGTTTTATATATAAATCATAAGGAATGATAAGATGAATAAGTGATAATCCACCTGAGATGAAAAGGTTTAATGCCTGGTACATGGAATATGCTTTGTAAATGGCCATTTTACTGTTAGGAGAGGGGAACATGACACTTAGCTTTGAAATCCGTGCCATGAAGAGTTTAACATAATAAAATCTTCTTTTTTGTGTTGAGGCAGGAGAAGAAGGGTCTCCAAGAAGATCAGAGCAAAAACGGAGGCACCATTCTTTGGGTTTACTGATGAATGAAGGGTGGCTTCGCGTGGGCAAGTTTATGAGGCCAGTAGGCTGAGAGCTGAGACTGGCATGTAAGGAGGGGAAACAGAAAGGTCTGCATTTTGATGAGTGACCCAGGATGACTGAAAATGAGGCAGAGGGAGATGAGCTGACCCTGTGGTACTTGCTACATGAAGTAGCTTCACTCTATTCGAGGCTGAGATGGATAAACCAGTGCGGCAGAGGAGTCGGAATTTGGAAGCAGACTTCATTGGTCAGATATAGCAATTAACATTGGCAGATGTATAAACTAGAACACGATGGTTAAACTAGGACAAACATGATGACATAAAGGAAGACAAGTATCTCCATTAGCCTGTGTATTCTCTTGCTCCTAACATGTACAACAGCTACATCTAAGCTTGCTACATCCTGTGTTGAGGGTAAGTCTGTAGTTACAATTAAACATGGACTGAATCCCTACTATTGCAAAAGCAATTATGTTGTGATTCCTTAAATATACCATTAGAGAAATTTGGACACAGAAATGGACATACAGAGGAGAATTTAGTCCCTATTATTAGAATATAAACCTAGGCCCATGAAATAAACCCCATTTTCTGCCTCAGGGAGCTGCAGTGAAATGATGACTTGGCAATCATTTCTTTTGCACCTATTGTGTTCTGGGGGACTCACACACCGCTGCATTTATAAAAGCCCTTCAGTAGGCAATACTGCATGTATATGTGGTAGTTTTAGCTGCAGTTTTCCAGCCAGCATTGTTTTTGCTTCCGCGGCATTGAAGCCATCAGGAAGAGAAGTCCCACCTTTCTGCAAAGCAATGATGATGAAAAGATTGCTATGTTTCTCTACTCAGGTGCAGCTACCTCACCACTTCCCTCAACCCTCCAACATAGGCACTATTCCTCTGACATGGTGAATTGGAGAAATAAAGGAAGATGTGACAAAAACACTGACACACAATTTTAAGAGAGAGGGGAAAGGCAAGATAAGCAGTAAAATGAAAACAGAGACCCCAAGTATCAAAAATAATACAGAATATAAGGAAGGATGATTTTTTAAAAAAAAAGATTGGCCTTTGCTTATATAAAGATACTTATTTCTACATCTAAAATCTATATTGGACCCACATGACAAAATAGCATGTCATCTAGAGCCATCAAGAAAAGGAAGTTGCCAATATTTTTCAAAAGCAACTAAGGAAAACACAATCAGCATTTCTACTTCTGCTCTGGATAAGTCAGAGACGATAGAAACAGTGTTTAGTATTTATAAAACTGTGTAGGTAAAAGGAGCCAGGAGGTAGAGGTTCCAATTTCAGAATCCAAAGCACAAGAACTTTGCATTTAATTGTGATGAAAATAGAAGGTTTTTATTAAGTAGGTGTTTGTACAGAAAAATTCAAATGTGCATTAAGGGATTTCAAAACCCTGATGAGGTAGTTACCCGCTGCATTATTTAGAACACTTGGGACCCAACTGCTGCCCTTTTGTGTGCCAAGCTGCTCCTGACTGATGTAAGGGCCTCAGAATTCCTCCCTCAGGAGGTATAATCAATGAATACCCTTTACCAGGACTAGACCCCAACGTACGTCTTCCCCCTTGCCAGGCATTTAAGGAACCTCTTTTCACAAATCATATTAATTCGCTAGTACAACAACAGTTCATTGTAAGTTGCTAAATGTTGTGACTTAATGGAAGACAAGATGATGGTATAGTTCAGTGATGCATATTACCTTTAATGCTGATAATGTGTTTGATTTGTATATTATACCTCCACCTGAGTAAAAAGGTGACAAAGAGGACAGGCACCAAACATCATAGAACTCCATGATTATGTTGTTTTTTCATAAAATGGGATGAAACTCAGATGTTTTACAATTGCTATAGTGGATTAGCAAAATTTTATTATGCAATTAAAACATTAGCTACAACAAATATAAATATATTCATGTGTTCTTAATTAGAGCACTAATAATCACTATTAGCTTGTATATAAGTAGTTGCCATACAACTGGGATATTTTAAATGAATTAAATTACTACAAAAGTGGGATTTCTGTTTTGTTTTGTTTTGTTTTTTGTTTTGTTTTTTGAGACAGGGTCTCACTATGTAGTTGAGACTGACCTGGAACTCACTATGTAGCCTAGGATGGTCTCGAACTCACAGCGATCCTCCTGCCTCAGCCTCCTGAGTGCTGGGATTACAGGCGTGCACCGACACACCCGGCAAAAGTGGGATTTCAAATTTAAATTTCTCTTTTTGGGGGGAATCTATAAATGGAAATTATTAGGTGGTTGAGGTGAATAGTCCAAGGGATAACACTGATAATGAAAAACAGTGTAACCTGGTGGCTGAATGTACTGGCCTTGGGTTCAAATCCTGGCTCTGCCACTATTAGCCCAGGCACCTTGCATAAGTTGCTTCACTTCCCTAAGGCTTCAGTCTTCCTGTCGAGAGTGCCAATTACAATTAACTCACTTCCTAGATCATTTAAGGATGAAATGCATTGGATATCACAGCACTAAGTGTGGCACCTAACAATTCTAAATGTGGTCTGAGTGATAGTGGTTCATGTCATTATTATTGCTTGATTGTCAAAGGTGCCATTGATCTAAGTGATCAAGATAGGGATCTTTCATAAGGATTCCAGAAAAGAATCTCAAAGGACATCTAGGTAGGCAATCAATAAGAAATTTTTTATTTTCTCTTGGAAATGCAAAGTAGAAGCCAGCCATATCAGTTAAGATAGGTCAATTCTAAACATATTACACGTCTATGAAAAAGGTCTAACAAAACAACAGTAGAATGGGCAGAGTCTTAGAAGAAGAAAATTTGTTCATTTCTCTCCTCTCTGACAACTCTCTCACCCCTGCCTCACTCTTCTTCAAGAAGGGGTTCTAAAGAGTTCGAGCTGAAGAGTCAGAAGGTCATATTTATCAATGAGAAATGTGGAAATGGGCCACCTGAATTGAATTCCTAGTGCCACTGTCAGAAACCAAACCGAACACTTGCACTTTCTTTCCCATTTCTCCTACAGCCAACCAGAGTGTGGGGAAATGCTGCTTTCAAGGGTTTCAGGCATAAAGAAACCTGGGATATATCTCTGACCCCATTTACTGGAGCCCATCCTGGACTTTGGGACAGAAGCTCAGTTAGCAGGAAAGTGACCCTCTGTTTCTGGGGACCATCATTCCTTGCTTGTATATTCCACTTGGCTTTGGTCTGGGATAGTATTGTGTATTCTGGGTCCTTTCATTAAATCTATCTAAATGCATCTCCATCAGAACACAATCCCAGACAGTGCCTAATGAATGGGAAAATAAGGGCCAGAGAAAGTAAATTGTTCAGGAACACATGGTTAGTAAGTGATAGCACTTGTGGCTTGAAGCCAACTTTCCTGATTACCGGTTTAGTAGCCAAAAGTTGGGTTTAATGGTTAAAGTCATGTGTTGGAAACACCAACACTTTGAAAATGCAAAATTTTAAAGACATAAGCATGCATACTGAGGTCTTAGCCATGTTTTGTTCTTTTCTTACAAAGTCCTTCTCAGAAAAACCTCACTTTCTTAGCCAAATTCCCACTTAGGCAATTACATCTTGCTCATATAAACTGTCTTTATATCTCAATTGGACAGAGCACACTTCCATCTAATTTGTCTCGTTCCCCTAATAGGCTTTTCAGGATTGCTATGGGAGCTTGGAATTGCTGAGCTTCCTCTCTGTACTCATGGTGTCCTTAGGGAGTCATTAAATAAATTACTTTTTTCTAGTGTGCTAAATGGTGCCCTAGTGCTCTGAAAGAGTTAATTCACCTCAGAGAGGTGGGCAGTTACTCACCCAAGAACCAGGTTTGCTACCGACCCAAAGGGGGCTGTAACTATATGGGCATATGGCCAATTAGGCACACACTGGCTCAGCAGACATTCAGTAGGTACCCAACCATTTGTTCATGCCCCATTAAAAATGCCTCAACCATGGGGAACAGGTAACTTGTTCAATTGTTTCCCAGATTTCCCCAGGAGTAGAGGTTAACTCTACCAGAGAACCCTATTTAGACAAACACCCAAAAACTGGGGATTGGTATGTATTCACAGCTACTCCAGGATCTCCTGAATCTACAAGTTGGCCTCCAATATCCCTGCCTAAATGGGATATTATATTTCCCAAAAGAGCATCACAGGGCTTCCAACTCTAGAATAAAAATATTCCCTGTTCCAAATTATGTAAGAAAATAAAACTATTGGGTGCTATTCCATTTTCTAGGGCTGTCCACTAGAGATAATGTGAGCCACATAGGTAATTTTACATTTTCTGGCAGACACACAATGGAAAGCGAAAGTGAACAGATAAAATTCATCTCAATTCCATCTTATATAACCAAATACATCCAAATGATCATTTCAATGCTTAATAAATTTTATATTATTAGTGAGATATCTTACATACTTTGTTTTTGTATTTAGGTTTCTGAAGATGGTGGGTATCTTAGAGTTAGGGCTCGTCTCACCAGCCACATTTATATGGTTGGTGGCCGGCACACTGCATAGCTCTAAAGGTCATCTGAACTGTCTAGCCTCAGAAAGGACCAGATCTTCCTCTCTTTCCTGTATTGAGTTTTGCTTGTTTCATTTTGCTTTTGGCCAGGTAAATCCAGATTCCCTGAGGCTTCTCAATTCTTTCTAAGTTTTGTCCTGCATTCTCAGAATGTTCTACAGACTTTAGCATTTTTTCACAATTTCATTATTTTATACTTTCATACCCCAGAATCCCAATTTTTGAAATAAAAATCCAACTGGAAAATGATGGAAATAAGGCTATAGCATTTCCAGAAGTATGGAAACTATAAAAGGCAGAAACTTCTTTTCTTTTCTAAAGATGTCCTAAAGGTGAAAGTGAGACACAAATATTGGGAAAGAATTTAATAAAGTTCAACAGTGCTATGAAGTATTGAGAATCTAGGCCCTTAAGGCACAAAGTGAACAAGCCATAATCATGACAGAGGAGAAGCTTATAGTTCAGACTGTCCCCAAAATGATTCAATACTATCTAAAAATGATCAATGTGAGAGAGAGAGAGGTAAGTACAGATCTTGTGTGGAACCTCACCTAGCCTTGGATAGAAAGACATGTTCCTAGAACAAAACAATAACAAAGAAAAAGCTTGGATGCCTCAAATGACAATAATGAGAAAGAGCACCAGAGAAGACATAAAGTTTATAAATCCTGCTGTGATCTCAGACTTATTTCTGTAAGTGAGGAGAGGCCATTGGGAGTTTCCATGGAGCCACACAGTTAAGTTTGTGTTGTAGAACAATCACTCTAGCTGCCTGATCGAGGGGAAACATAGCAAAGGAAAAATCCAAAATGAAGGAAGAAGACAAAATATGGAGTGAATACAAAAGTGCAACAGAATGATTACAGAGACTGACCACAGGTAAGGAGCTAACCTAATAGTAGATGTATACAAAATAAAATCAGTAGGTCTCAATGATTGGTTAGATCCAAGAGAGAACATTGAAAACAATGAGGCAGAGACTTCAGAGATAAAGTCAATTTAGAAGTGAAGAGGTTAAATTATATTTTAGACACTGTTATTCCTATGCCACATTCACATGGACTTCGTCAAGAGGCAGTCACATACACAAGTCTCACAGTCACATATGCAGATAGTTAGCACCTGTCATTTATAGGTTGTTTAATGAATCCAAGAAACTTTACATTTTGAGATACAGCCAATGCCTAGAAGGACCTTAATGAAGAAGGAATTATACGAACAATGTTGTCACTGTAGATATTCAGGCAGAGCATCATAGTTAGCAAGTTACTTTTGTCATAGAGTTAGGGGACAGGATTCAAACTCGAGGCAGTTGAAGCCTTCAATCTGCCTCTAAATTTTATCCCATGTCATCTAATATCATCTAGTTATCATACCACTGAGTAAAACTCAAGCAAAATCAACCTAAGACGAGGACGAAAAGAGATCAGTGGATCAATGACTAAACTTTGTATCACCTATAATAGATCTAAAATTGTGTTACTCTTTACACAGTACATGATGAATAAGTTATTTGCTTGCAAATTTAGTTTGAAAAATTAAAACTATAGATTAAAATACATTTCTTTGCAAATTTATGTTTTGCTTGAAAAACTAAAAGAACACTGTTCATAAACTGTATGATAATTCTTAGTTATCATTATGAAGTAAGGTATACTTAACTGTGATAATTTGGTTTTAAATATTCTATATCCTTTTTGAAACACATGATTTTGTTGTTGAATGTTCATAATAAGTAGAATCTTTATTTTTGTCAATATGGCTAGTTTTGATAAACATATAAGCAAACATAATACTCAAGTAAAAAAGTGAAACAAGGGTTGAGGATTTAGCTCAGTGGTGCTGATGCAAGCACAAGGTCCAAGTTGCTCCCCAGTACCCCCCCACAAAAAAGTAAAACAAGATATTTTAAAGATTGATAACTACAAGTTAGCGAAAACTACCACTCTCAGAATATAAATTTTCTCTATCTTTTTCCATTCTTGTCATTTCAATATTAAAATAATTATAATTTTAAAAATAATTTTCTGTAAGTTTTCCATGGGCTTGTTGTGTTTGTCTATCTACATTCATTTTCTGATCATGACTCTCAGAGCTTCTTTTTAGTGCCCTACTTGAACCTGGATTCAACTCTGAAATCCAACCTGCTGAGGTTCCTGGCCTCCCCTTTTGGCCTCCATTTCATTTTCCTGTATGAAGAGTCTGCTGAGATACTATTAGATAGTTGATGTTTAGGTTAAAAAGCAAGATACAACTTAGCATCACAACTGTGCTACCAACTGATAAGAAGTGAACATCATCCCCACATAATTTTGTCACCAACCATCGTAGATGGCCTGAACCAGAGCCCTTAGGTCACAAACGTTCTGTCATAATTGGACCACTGTCAGTGTTGACAACCTCATTTGGCCTAAGAAATGTTCTCACATACTTCTAGCTTCCCCAGCCTGCTATGGTATTTCTAGATTGGTTCTTCACAGAGAATGTTTATATTTTTATTATAATTGTCTTTAGTATGCAAAAAATGTAATCACATACCATGCCTATTATATAAAATTGTCATATTTGCAAGTATTTTAGAAAGTATTTCGAAGAAGTAAATTCCAGGTGATGAATAACCAATTTTGTATACCTAAAACTTATAAAGAAAAAAATTCTTTAAAAAATATCCTTTACAGCTCACAGTTGGAATCTCTCCTAAAATCCAACTAAGTTATGAGTATTACAAGACTGAAAACTATAAGTACACAGGTTGATCAGCTTGGTTTAACAGTGTCAAGATGTTCTCTGTCTCTTCCTTTGTCTTCTCACTTTTGTTAATGGCCCTTCCATAACTCATTTCTAATCTTAGGCAGATATAGAGCCTTTCCCTTCATGAGGCATCAAGTTGTTGCCTAAATGATATTTTCTAATGGAGCCCAGATATCTGATCTAACTAGTGTCATTTCTAATGTTCTCCAATAGATCTGCAGTCACCATTCAGTAGTACTGGGAACAAATATCTATGACTTTCTTAGTGAAGAGTTGTGATTCATTTGTACGAATAGCCACATTTATTTACCCCATAACAAGAGTAGTGTTTTACTTATTTTTACATTAAACTAATACTTACTGAGTAATGATTGTCCATACTGTAGGCATTGCAAAGACACTGCATTTATATAAAATAATGTTACAATATAGACAGTCTCTGCCATTGATAGGTCCATATTTTGGTGTATACGAATGAGGGGGGAGATGTGTTAGACAGTACATTAGTGAGGCTAGTTTCAGTACAGGAAAATACATCCCCAAACTTACTGTCTTCTGAAAACACTGGTTTCCCTCTTGCTTTCACTTCTTGCCCTTTGCAAGTGAGCTGGGGCTCCACTCCACACCTCCCACCCTACGATTCAGGCTAAGTGGCCACTATTTCAAATGTTGCTTGTCATTCAAATATAGGGGAAAACCACTCTAGAGAATCTTATATTCCAGAGTATAATTCAGTGCCATGGCTTGGAAGAAATAATCCTTACACCTACTCCAACCCAATGGGCAAAACTAGTTGTGAGAACTTTTCCAGCCACAAGAAAGGGGTATTAGACAGGCAGAGAGCTAGGAAATCTGAACAGACATGGCAATTCTGAGGGTGAGGGTGAGGTAAGTAAAGGACTCCACTTTGTGAGCTCTCTGAGCCCAATGTACAGTGCCTACTAAACTCTGAGCATCCATAATGAAGTCTGCAAAGTGTTGCAAAAGAGTAGGAGAAGGGAGAGTTACATTTATTGATTGCATGTATCTATCCAGTCCCAGTTATTTTAATGTCATTATATTGTTCAAACATTAAAATGTAAGGGGTTGGAAAGGGAAACAAAGTATTTAGGAGTGAATAAGAAACAAGAGTTATTCCAAAGCTAAAGTGGGCTCAATGAGCAGTCTCATTTGGCAGCATGATGCCAACATACCATGGCACATTGGGCTGTGAGTCCCTAACCTTAGCTGAGTCTCCTACCAGAGCTCTAAGGGAGAAGACAGAAAGTGTGATTAACAACAACTGGGACCTCATCTTATTAAAAAGCTTCTTTACAGCAAGAGAAACCACCAACAGAACTAAGAGACAACCTACAACAACATGGGAAAAATTTTTTACCAGCTGTTCCTCCAACAAAGGTCTGCTATCTAGAATATATAAAGAAGATATAAAAATCAGACCTTAAATTTAAAGACTCAATCCAAAAATGGGCATCTGAATAAATAGACATTTCTCGGATGAAGTAGAAACAGGAAATAAATGTATGAAAAATGTTCAACATCGTTGGTCATTTGACAGATGCAAATGAAGACAACACTGAGATTCCACCTCATCCCAGAAAGAATGGCTGCTATCATGAAATCAACCAATAACAAATGATGGTGAGGTTGTGAGGAAAAGGAAGTCTTCTCCACTACTGGTGGGAGTACAGACTAGTGGAAATCATTATCCACTGTGGAAATCATTATGTCCATAAAAAAACTAGTATTCCTCAAAAAATTAGGATTAGAGGTCCCATTTGACCCAGGTATTACCCCATTAGGTATCTTCCCAAAAGAATTCAAAGAATCATACCACAGAGATATATGCTCACCCATGTTTATAGCAGCCCAGTTTGGAATAGCTAAATCTTGGAGATAGCTCAAAGGCCCATCAACTGGTGACTGGATAAAGAAGATGTGTGTAAAAAAAAAAAAAAGATGTGTGTGTGTGTGTGTGTGTGTGTGTGTGTGTTTTAATAAAATGGAGTACTACTCAGCCATAAAGAATGATAACTACAGACATTTATAGCTAAATGGATGCACATGGAGGCCATACTCTTAAGTGAAATAAATAGGACTCACATGTAAATGCAGAATAGTTTCTCTGGTGTGAGAAACTGAAAGTTTAAATGTTGACTAAAATGTGTAACATATAATATGAAATAGGAAGAAAAGGTTCAAAGGGGAAGGGGAAGTAGGGAGGGGAAAGGAAAGAAGGTTTAGAAAAAAATGAGAAAGGAAAGCAAAAATGGAAAGAAAGTTTTTTGTAAATAGGGAAGAGTGGAGGGGTTGAAGGGAGGAAAGTGGAATAGGGAAAAAAGAAGAACCAAGATATATCATGCACAGGTACAATTCCCAATGATGAACGTTATCATACTGTATACCTAAAATGTACAAATAAACAATAAAAAAAGAAAATGTGATTCATAGAAATACCTAGGAAATCAAGGCACATTCTGCCTTTGCATTCAGCTTTGATTCAGAAACAAATTAGGACGGTGTATGGCAGTGTGCTCAGCCTACGTCCTTCCTATGAATGTCAATAGTCTTCCTACTTCCATTATACAAAGCACAGAGAGGAGAGAAGTGCAGCCTGGAAGGAGGCCAGCAAGGGAGCACTGGATTTTCTTTCACTTTTTTTTCTTTCTTTTTTCTCTCACTTTTCTTCCACACTTAGATCCCTAATGTGCTTCTTCCTATGGCTTTCTGATACCTCTGTCTCACTAATCATTTCTGTTAGTTCCTCTTTCCTGGTATTGAAAGGATAGAGTACTCTGTGGGTTTTAACGTAGAGTGATATGTCACTATATTTGATACTTCCCCCCTCATTGGCATTTTTAATGTATTGTTTATTATAGCTTAGCATTCCAAAATATGGTAAAAAGGCAAGAAATACAAGCAGTGTCATCAAGTAAACACATTTTGGACCAAATAATTGGTACACTGCTTGTTATACTAATGTCCAGAGAGCTCAAAGCATTTGGAAACCATTCCTTCAGTTCAGATATTGATTTCACCCCAATGTTTTGAAGTTGAATATCCAAAACCACACTTGTGACTTAGGCAATTTTACATTTTTATATGTGTAATAAACATGGCTAGGTAATAGCGTACCTGAAATACAATGAATCTTTAGGAAGATAAACAGAACTGGTCAGAATGCTATGAAATTACACATACAGGGAAACTGGAGAGGGAGAGTTGTATACTTAAGTTAACACTTGATTACCAGAGATAATTTGGAGGGTGAAAATAAAATGGGTTATAGATAACCCAAAACTACATACACTTCTTAAAACCCCACAGCATTAACTTGAAATAGATTAACCACTTTGCAGATCAATCAAACACTGTATAAACAACAGCTGGGATCTGGAATGATCTCTCTCTCTCTTTCTCTCTCTCTCTCTCTTTTTTTTTTTAACCTAGGGATTGAACTCAGGACTTTGCACTTTCAAGGTAGGTGGCAGAACCACTGAGTTAAATCCACAGCCCTGAAATGATCTCTTTTTTGCAGTGAAGCTCAGCCATGGGGTAATTTTGAGATTGGAATTGAAAGACAGCATTTTAAGTTACAGGAGTGGAGGGCCCAGACTGCAGGTAGAGCTCTTGATGGAGTAGATAAAATGTACCACATTTCGGACTCAGACATAAATAAAACCCTGTCCTCTAATCACTGGGTTGCTGATAATTGGGGCTTATGGTCCACAGTTTGACTACTGTTGGAGATGTGACCTAATCCAAAATCTGTGCTTCCCCGTAATCCCCTCCATCTGCAAATCCACATAACCAGTAATTAACTGTATTCATATTTCTGTGCATTTTAATTTCTAACTATTTAGTAATAATTAGAAAGACAATGAGAAGTTTGATATATTTGAAAGCCTAGAAATTCTGTTTCTGATATAATAAAAATATTTCTTACCCCTCATTCTTGAATGCAAATGCAAAAACACAAATAGTATCTAAATATAAGTAGTGCAGAAGAACATCCCTACCAACTGCTTCATGCATTTCAAAAGTTGGCTGCTTCTAAGCTTCTGAAACTGATTATTTTTTAAATGAATAGGAATTTACTTTTCAAAGGAAATTTTATCATTATCATTAATAGACTCAAATAACATACACTGAACACCTATCATACATCAAGCCAAAAAGCATTTACCATTTAGAAATATATATTCTTAGTACCAAGTATTAAGGACACACACCATTATAAACACTGACATGGGCAACACAAAATTATGTATTGGGCAGGCAGCACTTAAAATTAAAACACTATAGAAGCCATGAATCAAGGATTTATTTCCTAAAACAAAGCACATGTGGTAAAAAAAGATTGTACAATATACAGCAATTTGACCAAAAGGCCAAAATTTCAATCTTACTGAAGGGGAGCCAGTGATCCTATTTGTGATAAAACAGTAAGCACGTTAATAAGAACAGTACTGAGCTTCCTTGTAGGCTGAACTTTCCTTTTTTATCTGACTTGAGATATCTGCTATGGTGTAGGTATG